TTCAACAATAAACCTATTATCCTCAAGTATTATATTTAATACATAGAGGGATGTTTAATGTTAATAAAACACTTTAAATTATATGACAAAAAGAAACAGAAAGCAATAGGAAATGTGCTTACCTTGTTCCACATTCTCTACTGTCCCATGTTGAGCTAAAAGACCATCTAACACCTGAAAGACAAATCAGACATAGAATATAAATAACAAAAACCTGAAAACTTTTCATTCAAATTAAGTTACTAAAGCACAAATTAGTTGACTCAGCAAACAGGTAAAAGTAGAACACTCTCACTGTAATGATATAATAATCTCTCTTCAACTCACTCCAACTTAACTTTACTAGTAGTCAGAATGGAAAGCAATACTTGTTTAAGTTGGTTGAAATCAACTCTTGAATTAGACTTTTTTCAATGAAAGGAAAGGAACAGGATTTTGAGGAACCTGATAAAATGTTTTAGAATAATTTTTTTTAAGATATAATTTTCCAGACTTCTTTTCTGTTCCTCTGTTTGATATAATAGTAGTAGTAGTAGTAGTAGTAGTAGTAATAGTAATAGTAATAATAATAATAGACAACTTTACAGAAGAATGGCTCAAAAGGATTTTACAAATGGCTAGATCTATTCCCAGCATATATTGAAGAGAATTAAGTATCACTCATAGGCCAGGGGTACAAAAAAAAAGAAGAAGAAGAAAGAAGTTTGGGGGTCAACATGTGGCTACCCTACAATGGGCAGAGCCAATGATTTGACCTCCTTCTCTGCTTTGGGGGAGTTGCAGTAGATTAAGGCACCTGTTTCACTCCATAAAACTCCTGAATCTTCTGCAAAAATGGGCCTTGCCCCCACCTAATTTTAGAGTACCAGTCTTTATCTTTCACACTAGTGCAGCCCCTGAGTTGACAGATATAATGCATCGCTATCCTAGGCTATGAAACCAATAAAATTTCTAGTCTTCCACAGAATCTAAGAATCAAAGCTAGGCTTTCCCTTAACCTAGTTCTCCAGATGTATTAGAGTTCAATTACTGTAAACTGAGTTATTGTCGGAGTCACAGTCCAATTTGTTAAGAGGACATCAAGTTGAGACAAGCTATTCTATATTATGAAGAGAGGAGACAGAAAATCTGCCAGTAGGTGTCAAGATATTGGTCCATTAAGCCCCAGCACATTTTCTACAACCACACTGAACAATGAATACTTTGGAGGAGGGGTATAAAACCCTACAGGAAACAATGCATCCACCAAGACAGCTCACATTTTCAGCTGACTGGGATGTTCCAAAGACTTAGCAAAGAAGCACACAACTTTCTGGTTTAAGTCAACCACACAGGTTATGCTGAAATTACTTCCTACCCGACAGACAAAGTTGGGTATGACCAGTCTTACTGGTGGCTTAGTGGCAACACATTTTACAACTGGGGCTCCTGGTGCATAAAATCAAACTTAATCATGGCATAGGAGATATTAAACAGTAATGGATACTAGCAAATATTAGAGACAATGTGACTCAATGAAGATGCATCCATAGTCACCTTGGGAAGACACTATTACAGATGCTTCGTTCTTCCCCAAAAGCCACAGACACAGATTGCCAGGCAACCCCCTTTCCCAGAATTAAACATTTAAGCTATCCTCTTCAGCCAATACCTGAAAGCAGAAATTCAATCACCTGATTTATAGCCAGCAAGTCATCTTCCTAGCACATTAGACTCTGTACAAAAGCAGCAGAACAGGCCTTCTACTGAGAAACATCATCATATTTGTGAGAATGACTAAGAAAAAACAAACACCCACATGTAGTCATCCCTGCAGCCACTTCTGTACCCAGAATGGAAAAATAGCCTAGTCTTTTGTATCAGGCACAACTGATACAAAAGGTTCCTTCCCCAAATGTTATATCAACCTGTATTCTGAATATATCTTTTTATCATTCTTGGGACTCTAAAGATATGGAAATTAATCATGTGGCCTCATCCTTTGGTTTAATTAAGTCTTTCCAGTATACAGTGGTACCTCAGGTCATGAATGCTTCTGTTCGCGACCAATTTGGGTCATGAACAGCTCCGTTCGCAAAATTTTGCTTCTGCTTGCGAACGCCGGATCGGGCGACGAACAGGATCCGTGGCCATTTTCCCTCCCGTGACACTGTGAGTGTAATCTGTGGCTTATTGTTTCATTAGTATTGTACAGTGGTACCTCGGTTCACGAACTTAATTCATTCCGCAACTCTGGTCACGTCGCGACCAATTCGGGCCATTTTCCCTCCCGTGACACGTGGTCGTGGCTTCCTGTAGGGAGGGGGACTCTCCCTC